TACTTTTTAATAAAACATGAGTAGCACAGTTTATGGCTTCCACTATTCAAACAGCAGTTGAGCCTAAGAGGAATTATTCATTTTAATGGTTCTAACACTCATTCCCAAGCAGCGGTGCTGTTTTATCAGCCTTTGCCTGAATTAGAGATTGACTGGCTTTGGAAAAAGAAGATGGCTCAGCAAGAGTTGAATAGAGCGTGCTCAGGCAGTTGGACGTGGTTCCTTGTCACTGCAAACAGCCCCTCTGTTATCTATGGGACCGTTTGCTAGAGGTGGGGTGGGAGGCTGGTGTCTGCCAGGTGCCGTGTGTACTTGCCCAGAGAGAAGCATTGCCCCATTCTGTCCTAAAACAGAGCAGGCTCATAGGAAAGCTGTGGGTGAAGATTTGCCTTTTCCTCCTCACACTGCCATAGAGACACCCTTCCATTAAATTAAAATGAACTTAAACATGTGGGATGTTCCTGGGACATCAGCAACCATGAGGGAAACAGACTAAGGATGAAAGAACGCACTGCAAATGCCTGACACACAAGCAGTACCTGTTACCACTATTATTAGCTCCATTCAGAGGAAGCAACTGATGCTGAGATCTCCATAGGATTTCACTGTTAGTAAATAAACAGGGGGGTCAAACCCACATCTTCTGATTCCAAATCCCACATGATTTCCACAGCATTCTTTGCCACCCACGTGCCTTGATGGAGGTAGAGTCTAAATGCAAAGGAACAGGTGATGGTGGGACCATGGGACTCAAGGGTCAAATTAGAAGCAAGTGTTCAGGTGGGGTCAGTCTTGAGGCCCTCAACTTACGTAAGGTGACTACAGCTGTGGGCTCAAATCCTTCAAGGCATATTTGTGGAAAGTCAGGAGCATGTGAAGGTTTTGTTTTGTTTTTTGTTTTTTGAAATTGTTGATGGCATCCAAAGGATTATTAATGTCTTCTTACTGTTCCATTGCTGAAAATGTCTTTGCCTAGGCAAGAAAGATTTCAGCAAAGGGGTTTCTTAATGAAACAGTGCCTGATGCCAGATTACCATTCCGAAGACAGTGCTGGGTTCCATTAAAGAATGAACTTCACTCTCACAGCTGACAGCTGATTAATGTGCTAATTAGGAACCCTGGCCCCCTCCCCCAGCCACCCAAATCTTCTCTCCAGCCAGCAGAATGTGTATATTGTGCCCATGTGGGTAACCTTATGGCATACCTTGGCTTTGACTTCGGACGTGTATATAAAAATAACATGAATAGCTTTCTTTCTTTCCAGGGGAAATACAAGATGGAAAGAGTTATAGGAACCAGAAGTCCTGCCTTTCAGTTTCCTTGTATTTGAGAGCAAGTGATATTTCTGCTGAGGCGGTGTCTTTGGAGCCGTTTAGCGGTGTAGGTTGCCACACATTTATTTCACAGGAAAGGAGTGAATCCATCAGGCCACTGAGCTTATAAGTACTGCCCTGGCAGCCAGCCACCAAAATATAAATAGTCTAAATGGACTAGAGGAAATGTTCATTCTGTTGTTTAGAATTGGACACATCCCAGGAAGGTGAATGTAATCTTTGTGAGGACTGCTGTTACGGGGTTGAATGGAATACCCATTTGTTTATCTCCTTTGTGATCTTTTTGTCGTCCTGGTGATACATTATGTATCTGTGATCCGAAGCATTTCAGCTGTCTCGCTCAGTGGCCTTGCATGAGCTGATTGTTTGGTCCCCAGATTGCCATCATTAAACAGCGTCAGCCTGAGCTCTGTCCAATCTGGGACCTGTTAGGGAGAGAGTGGAACCGAAGCGGCCAGATTCCAACAGAAACAAAGCCGGCGTGGAATTAGCGGAAACCATCCCAGAGCCCAGGGAGTGGAGCTCTGCACTTCTTAATCTTTATCTCTTAAAATATCTGAAAGGTTTTTGGTACTTCTTGACATAATGAGGAAAAAATGCCTTACAACGTTTAAAAACAAAAAAAAAAGCCATCAGTGGAAAAAGGAGGGAAGGATACCTTATAACACCACAATTCAGACAACCCTAGTTCTTGACAGACATGCTGTGTATCCCATGGATATATAAATGTTATTTTATTAAAGAGAGAGATCTACAGTATTTCCACCTAACTACCACATCTTAAGTAATCAGCTCAGGCTCTTATGATGAAATCTTTAATTACTAGAAGTGTGCCATTAGTTAGATGTCGAATGAATGATGGTACTGCGTTTTATTGCCTCACATGATACAGCCATTTGTGCCATAAATTCATTGACCTCATCTTAAATGATGTGTCCTGTTAGAGACTTGATTCATTATTTCTTAAGTGACTTATTTTTTTCTCTAATAATTTTTCGCTTCCTCAGAAAGATGGCTTTTTTTTTTTGTATTTTTAGATCGGTGTTCTAAATGGAAATGTAATAAGGATACACACACACATTCACACTCACATTACCCAAAATGAGATAGTATTACCTACATACTTTGTGATGTTGCAGAAAATCAAGCATCTAAGTATTAGGCTTTTTTGTTAACTGGAAAGTTTGATGAAACAGAATTTTGCTTGGAAATTTGATGTCTGTAGTAAATCGTGTTATAGTGGAGACTACCTATTTGATATTTGGGGTAGATGTATGAGCAATTCTTACTCATCGATGAATTATTGAAAGTAAAGGAAATGATGGGAGAACATTTAAGTTATATTTAGATTATTTTCTGTGACTCCACTTGAAAATATTTATTTGGCTTGAGGAAACAGAGGAATCCTCTGCAGACAAATAATCCAATCTGGCAATTTAAGAACCAATTAAGGATTTCAGAAAACTCTTTCCCCTTATGGTTAAAAAGAAGATCCAAAAGAAATATGTCAGAAATTTTGGCATATAATTTCAATTAGTTTAATTCATTGATGATATTTTTTAGTCATGATTAAAGAAGTCATATGTGATCCTTCACTTCAAGCTTATAAATTGGTACTGTAGGCTTTTAATGATGGATGCCTAAAATTGGCTTTATTTCATATTGGAATTCAGATGTCATATCATTATACATTAACTTTATAAAAATATCAGATCTTAAAAATAAATTACATGTGTAAAGTTTCAGCTATATCTTATTTAATCTTCTAGATGATAATTTTGAGAGTCTGCCAGATTGTGTGTTTCTCATCAGAGGCAATTGTGTATTTATGTGTAAACTAGACATCTCAACTATGATTTTTAAAAAAGTTCCCTTAATTCTGGAGAAAACTGAAACACTGTAATGAGATTGGGAGTATATTAACATTGAAATTATTTGTTTTTAGCAACAAGTATTTTGAAAGAGTAATTCAATATGAGGCCAAACAGAAAAACTAATTTGTGCCAATAAGTATTTCTTATTCAGCCTCACACTGTGAAGTATATTACCTGCAGATATCAGTGGAGGGGGAAGTAAGAGAAAAAAGAGTGAATTTCCACTTACATACCCACATCTGTGGTGAGTGTGTGCACCCACAATCACACACTGGCATGCCACCACTGTTTACAGTCAAGGAAAGCTGAGAGTTAAATGAGATGAATAATCAAATGCTCAGCATATGTTGTTTTTGCATTGTTGATGTGACCAATCATTATTGAAATTTATTATCCTTTAATGCTATTAATTTATCATAGTTAAAAAAAAACAATAACAAGGGACCAGCAGAGATCTTCCTCAACAAAAACAGGGTCCGATTTATTTATTGGAACCAGGGCTTTAGTGAGGAGAGACTCAATTCAGTGGACTCACCATTGCACTGCATTTCACAATGCTGCTGCTGCTGCTGTGTGGATTGATTGGTGCTCAGAAAATAATTTAAAAAATAAAGAACAAGAGAAAGAAAAAAAATTGTGTGTGTGTGTAATGTTCAGTCAAAAAAGTAAGGCACTGAAGAACTATTGAAAATTTTGACATCTGTTTATCTGTTTATAGCTATGGCAAGATTACTCATATTAATTCTTGTTTAAAATGCCATATGAAGGGAAGACATTTGTGCAAACAAGAGTCATATTTGAATTGTAGATCATGCCTTCACCATCTGTGAGAGCTGATGGTGTTGCAAAATTAATGTGTTAATGAAATCACAATAATTTCTCCAAAGTAATGGGTTCTGAAGCCGAGAAGGACTATTTTTTTGAACTTTGATGTCTAGTGATTTCCAATTGGGAAAAGCTCTCAGCCTTTAATTCATTCTGCAGCCAACTTTAAAATAAATTTGGTGATGCCTTTCTTTTGCCAGGAGTAGATTTGAAGAGGGGGGGAAAAAGCCATAACAACTTTGGAAAGCGATCTCTGGTGTTTGAAAAGTTGTTAAATAAGATCGCGTGCCAAGAAATGTCACCAAAAATTCTGACTACTGAGAGAGAGTGGGCAAACAGCTCAGAAAATAATTCTAGCTTGCTGCAACATCACAGGTTGGGAAGAGCTAAACCTCACACAGACTTCACGACCAATTCCAAGTTTCCCCTTGGAAGGCAGACAGAATGATGCCGGGCGCTTGTGTTATTGGTTAACACAGCGCACCCTTTCCAACTGCATTATCGAGCGCAGTCAATAGTGCAAAGTGACTTTGCATGAGCAGAATGTTAAGGGGCTCTCTATTTCAAAGCCCACAGAACATTCTGGCGAATCCTTCTCTCCAACACTATTAACTTTGCATTCATGATGAGCGTCTTTGACAGGTGAAAATGTGTGGGCAGGTATATGTATTCCTTTTTTGTCCGATCCACCTTAAAGGGAAAAACAATTTCCCTTTAAAAAAAAATAGGATATGGTGATAATTGTTATTCTGAAGAGTTAATATTAATAAAGAAATTCTGGCTTCCAGGGAGAAATCACTTTACAAACGTTTAAAGAATTGTCCCTTTTGGAAGGATACCCTTTCGGCCTGTTTGAGAAATTGGGATAAAGTTTGAAAGAAACCTGTAAGGGAAGCATGAAGCGCCATCTACCCAAGGACATTGCTTTTTTATTCTCTTACTTTTTCTTTCTATTGCTGTGTTGTAGGTATGTGACTGGTGTAAGCACATCAGACACACAAAAGAATATCTGGACTTTGGGGACGGGGAAAGAAGGCTTCAGTTCTGCAGCGCCAAATGCCTCAATCAGTACAAAATGGACATCTTCTACAAAGAGACGCAGGCCAACCTCCCAGCTGGGCTGTGCGGCGCGCTGCACCCTCCCCTGGAAAACAAAGCAGAAGGCGCCGGAGTGCAGCTGCTCACGCCAGACTCTTGGAATCTTCCCCTCGCAGATGCTCGGAGGAAGGCCCCCTCCCCGGGGGCTGCCGCTGGCCAAGGCCAGGGTCCCGGCCCATCCGCGTCCACCTCCACCACCGGCTCTCCGTCTGACACTGCCAACTGCTCCGTCACCAAGATCCCCACGCCCGTGCCCAAGTCCATGCCCATGGGCGGCGAGCCTGCCAGCCTGCCTCCCGTCTCCGTCCAGCCACCTGCCGGCATCGGGCCCCCCTTGGGCGTCCCGCCCCGCAGCCCTCCCATGGTCATGACCAACCGCGGCCCCGTGCCGCTGCCCATCTTCATGGAGCAGCAGATCATGCAGCAGATCCGCCCGCCCTTCATCCGGGGGCCTCCGCACCACGCCTCCAACCCCAACAGCCCCCTGTCCAACCCCATGCTCCCGGGCCTCGGGCCCCCGCCCCCCGGCGGCCCCAGGAGCCTGGGCCCCACGTCCAGCCCCATGCACCGGCCCATGCTGTCGCCCCACATCCACCCTCCGAGCACCCCGACCATGCCCGGGAACCCCCCGGGGGGGCTGCTGCCCCCGCCGCCGCCGCCCCCGGGCGCACCGCCCTTGCCCAGCCTCCCCTTCCCGCCCGTGAGCATGATGCCCAACGGCCCGCTGCCCGTGCCCCAGATGATGAACTTCGGGCTGCCTTCGCTGGCACCGCTGGTGCCGCCCCCCACCCTGCTCGTGCCATACCCCGTGATCGTGCCGCTGCCCGTGCCCATCCCCATCCCCATCCCCATCCCTCACGTCAATGATTCCAAGCCCCCCAACGGGTTTTCCAGCAACGGGGAGAACTTCATTCCGAGCGCCCCCGCCCCCGGACCCGGACCCGGACCCGGACCCGGCGGCGACTCCTCGGCGGCAGCGGGAGGCAAGCCCGGCGGCGGGCGCTCCCTGTCGCCCCGGGACTCCAAGCAGCAGGGCTCGTCCAAGGCCGCAGACTCGCCGCCCGGCTGCTCGGGCCGGGCCCTGAGCCTGGCGCCCGCGGAGCAGGGCGGCCGGGCCGAGGTGGTGGACCTGACGCGGCGCGCGGGCAGCCCCCCGGGCGCGGGCGGCCTCCCCGGCGGCGGCGGCGGGGGCTGCGGGCTGCAGGGCCCGCAGGACGGCGTCATCGACCTGACCCTGGGCCACCGCGCGCGGCTGCACAACGTGATCCACCGCGCGCTGCACGCGCACGCCCAGGCGGAGCGCGAGCCGGGCGCCGCGGAGCGCGGCAGGACCTGCGGCGGCGGCGGCTGCCGGGACGGCCACTGCAGCCCCCCCGCCGCCGGCGACCCGGGCCCCGGCGCCCCCGCGGGCCCCGAGGCGGCCGCCGCCTGCAACGTCATCGTGAACGGCGCGCGCGCCGCCGCCGCCGCTGCCGCCGCCGCCGCCGCCGAGGGGGCCAAGGGCGCCGAGCCGCCCCCGGAGCAGCCCCCGCCGCCGCCGCCGCCGCCCGCGCCCCCCAAGAAGCTGCTGTCTCCCGAGGAGCCCGCGCTCAGCGAGCTCGAGTCCGTCAAGGAGAACAACTGCGCTTCCAACCGCCACCTGGACGGCGAGGCGGCCAAGAAGCTGGCCGGAGAGGAGGCCCTGGCCGGGGGCGACAAGTCGGACCCGAACCTCAACAACCCCGCGGACGAGGACCACGCGTACGCGCTGCGGATGCTGCCCAAGGCGGGCTGCGTGATCCAGCCGGTGCCCAAGCCCGCGGAGAAGGCGGCCCTGGCGCCCTGCATCATCCCCGCGCCCCTGCTGGGCGCCGGGCCCGAGGACCTGGAGCCTCCGCTCAAAAGGAGGTGCCTCCGAATTAGAAATCAGAATAAGTAAAAAAAAGGTTTGTATGCGCACCAGGCACTCCTCCGCCTCCAGCCAGGGCGCCTCCCCTTCCTTTCTGGCAAGGGAGAGACCCCCCCATGGAGTGGAGTGGATGGATAATCGTGATTTTACCTTACATGTTTTACAATACAGCTGGTGTGGTTACTCACTGTCATCGTGTTTTTGGTCCAACATCATTCCCATTTTACAGCTGGCAACACTGAGTCACAGCATGGAAGTGCCATGCCTGAGGCCTCTTCCTGAATGGTAAAGCCCAGTCTTAAACCTAACTTGAAGCGCTAGCAGTCGCCTTAATGACACCTTTAGTATGGTCTGTAATAATTCACCGTATTGAGAAAGAAGGATGTGGGGAGGAAGGAGAGATTGCTTGGGGGCAGGTAAATACATGTTCAGTCATGAAACTGGCAGGGCTGTGATCACCAGGTAAGCCGGGCCACTTCCTAGAGCTGGTATACACGTGGGCAGAATGTCCCAACTCACCAGATTTTTTTCTTAATAACCGCGGTATTCCATTTGCAAGATGAGCATGAAAAATGACCTTTCTCACATGCTTATGCCAACGGAACCCAAGCCTCTAGGTGCCCTTTGCCTGGCAGGGTGTTGGAGCAGTGGCTCGTAGCTCCCGTTCACGGGATCTCTTCCTCCGGTTGTCCCCAACCACCATTCCCCAGGACAGGCATCAAGCGTCACTGACCAGCTTTGCTTTTTCCTGGTTTGGGGCTCAGTAGCTCAGGGGGTGGACTGCTCAACTCTGGGCCACATTGCTGATGTGGATGAGAGTGCATGCCTCTGACTCAGCGGGGGATCCCGCTGAAGCCAAGTGAGCCTCTGATAAGGAGTCCAGAATGTCAGGAAGGGGAAGGGGACTCACATGGCTACTATGCCTCCAAAGTAGCCAGGGGTGGCCTGCTTTGATCCTCCTGCCCATCCTGTTGGGACAGGCAGCATTGCTCTTACCATGGAGGAAGAGGAGGCCTGGAGGTGCCACCCAAATCAGAGCCCGTGAATAGGAGGACCCGTATTTAACTCAGGTCTGCCAAACACAGAGCCAGAGCGTGCCCCCTTTTCAAAAGGGCAGGCACCAGGCTGGCATTCAGTTGAGATTTATTAGCTTTATGGAGAAAAGAAGGGAAATGAACAGTCACTGAGCACCATACGTGTGCAGAGCTCCTTCCAGGACCTGGGGAGATGAGGGAAGAGGATGCAGTGCTGCCCTTGAGGCATTTCCAGGGGGTGGGAAGGAAAGCCCAGGCAGAAGGAGGCCCGGGAGGGGAAGTGCGCAGGAAGAGCAACCGCTCACGTTAGTGGTGTCCAGGCCATCTTCTGAGTGCTTTTCAATAGTATTTATTCAGACCGAAGCCTGACAACAAATAGTGTCGTCTTCATTTTACTGATGAAGAAACTGAGACAGAAATTGAGTAACTTGTCCAAGATCATCAACTGAGAGAGCAGAGTTGATATTCAAATCCAGCCTGTCAGTTACACACACACTCCTGTAAAGATGCTGGACCTAGGGCAGTGGTCGGCAAACTCATTAGTCAACAGAGCCAAATATCAACAGTACAATGAATGGAATTTCTTTTGAGAGCCAAATTTTTAAAACTTAAACTTCTTCTGACACCATCTCTTCAAAATAGACTTGCCCAGGCTGTGATATTTTGTGGAAGAGCCACACTCCAGAGCTACATTTTCCTTAAACCATCAAAAGAGAATAGGCTAGTGGGTCCCCTTATTACAGTGCTTGATAAAATTCTTTTACCCACCAAAGTGGAGAAAGTCCCTATAGAAAAACCAAGCCTACCTACCAACTTCTCTAAGTGTTTGGACAGGGTTCAGTTTTGTTTTTTGTTTTTTGTGTTTTTTGTTTTGTTTTGTTTTTGACAGTCTCCAATTCTTGTTTTCATAACAACAAACTTAGAATGACAACCCATTAGTCCACAGTGGGCAATGTAGGTGTGGACCAGAATACTCGATGTGGTGTGTCTAGACCATTGCCCCTAAGTCCTTGGTCGGCAAACTGTAGCTCTTTCACCCCTTGAGTGTGGCTCTTCCACAAAATATCACAGCCTGGGCAAGTCTATTTTGAAGAGATGGTGTCAGAAGTTTAAGTTTTAAAAATGTGGCTCTCAAAAGAAATTCCATTCATTGTACTGTTGATATTTGGCTCCGTTGACTAATGAGTTTGCCGACCACTGGCCTAGGTCCAGCGTCTTTACAGGAGCGTGTGTGTAACTGACAGCCAGAGTGTGCCTGGGAAGCACAGAGCCAGGAGGGGCTTGCTGGGTGGTGTAAGAAGGGATTCTCGGCAATCATAGTTTGAGGTTTCCTTTTCCATGGATGGCTTTGCCAGTAGGCGCAGAGTACTTAAAACCAATTCGCCGTTTCCTCTCGCTTCTTCGTCTACAAGTTCTGCTGTCTGAAGACAGATGGCCTCAGCCTTCTCAGAGCTGCCGCAATTGAAAACGCCCCAGATTTCCCCACCAGAGTCTTTTCATCCAGTTGACAAAGCAGTGAGTAATGGGGAGACGTGGGACCCCAAAAAAAAAGTGATGGCCTTCAGAAAGCCCGGGAGCACTGGAATTGTCATTTTAAACACATTCTAATATCATTCATTCAAGTGACAGAAAAGGAAAAAATGGGAAGAGGAAAGATGTTACTACCAGGACTGGAGTGAGAAGTGACCGCCAGGTCAAGACTAGTGCCTCTGGTCCATAGTAGCCTAAGTGCCTCTGGCCCAAAGCACATAAAAGCATGAAATATAGGGTGGCTATTTGGATGATCTATGTTTCTGAATAAAGAAGCAGGTGAGGGTCTTGTGTGTGCACCAGAGTCGTTACCAAAAATATTAACCTGGCTTTAGCCAAGATGCAGGGATGAAATTACCCCGTAGCCCCTTGAGAGTAGTGAGTTCTTTTTAGGATGCACCCCCCCCTCCCCCCCCAAGAAATTACAGCTTTCCTCTAACGCCTGGGACTCTCAGGCTTTGCCAGCTACCGCGGGTGACAAGGCACGTGATTTAAGATGGGGAAGCACCGCGTCTCCTCCACTAAATCACATTTTCTCTTGCCCTCTGTCGTTCCGAGTCACCTCGCAGCACAGTCTCAACCTGCCATCATTCATCACGCCCTCGCACCCTTCCTGGGCTGCTGCTGCTCTGCCTTCAGAAACCCAGCCCGTGCGTGTGGTTGTAGAGATTGGAAATGCATCTGTTAAATAAAGGATCACGTGGCTTTTGCACCCTGATAGTGAACACTGTTTGGTGATGACTCAAAGCCAGAGTGGAACGCATTACAAACCTGAAACAAACCTGAGTTTGCTGGGTGAGGTGCAGGTGAGTGGCTTTTTCACCTGCTTGTTGGTGACTCTCATAATTCGGTCAGTCAGTAGCTTCAATCAGTGTTCTTTATTCTTCACTATACCACCACCCTCATACTGGATTACTCCCCCCCCCCCACTCCATTTTAGATAGATTCAAAGCAGTTGTATCTTTGAATCCAGGTAGCCACAGTTGTCTTCAAGAAAGTCATCCTATGTACTAGGTCTTATCAAATTATAGTGAGATTTTTTTTTGGTCCCCCCCCCCCCTTTTGAAGTTATTCTGTTCCTGGTTAGCTGACTCTATGCCTTCTTGTTTGTTGATATGATTACATATTATCTTAATGGGCAGATATTTCCCCAGATCCAGAACTAATGAAGTTTAGTTGGAGATTTTAAAAGGTTGTAAACTTTCTTTAATCTTCAACTTTTAAGACTTCAAATACCAGTTCTGCAGCTTCTGTAAACTGGGGGGGGGGGAAATATCCCCCCAAATAATAAGGAAAACAATGTATAAACATTTCCCAAACTATTCTATCCACAAAGAATTCCATTTATAAATGGAATACACCCTTCTCTGCCTTTGCCTTGGAGCTTGGGGATAATTGTTTGTATTTGCACATTTTCTGAATTTCTACAGTTTACACTTGTTTATGGTACATTGGGGAGTTTAGAGTAACCATTTGCAAATGTTTGAAGATATTCAAAAGAAAATATCCCCCCTCCTCGATTTTCCAGGGAAATGACATAGTCTCTTTAAGTAACCAATGGAAAAAATGTGTACAGTGAATAACCCTTTCACCCTCACTTTTTCCATTCCTGAGGAGCCATAAGCCCTTCCCATTTCCGTGGCTCCTAGTTTTCCTATGTGTTCCTAAAACCAGAAAGAAAATCTGAGACTATCTTCCTCGGCTCCAGTTCCTGGTCTCCCTCCACAACTCCCCCCTCCCCCCCATTATTCTTCTGGTCATTGAGCCACAATCCCAGAAAGGGCTATTTCAGGAGGAGGCCAGGGGGCTCACCTCATCAAGAAAGCCAAAAAGGTAGAGGTGACATGCAACTCTTGCCAATTTAGTTTCTCCAACTGAGAAGTTTGAGAGAGTAATAGGCTTCCTGGGAAATCAAGTTCCTACATTTAAAATATTACTGTGGATGCCTACTTTTAAAGCAAGAAGAAGAAAAACAGAGGAGAGAAAAGCAGTACCAACGGGGTGGGCGAATCCTGTGCCAGACTTGAGATATTCAGTGTTCCAGGAATTGGTTATTGGAAGTGCTCATTACTGACAGGAACCTTAATGTTAAAGTTCTGGCACCTGTCAGGATGCAGGTGGCTGGCCACCTCTACGTGTAGATCATTCAGAGAGCCAGGTCATGCATACATGAGTGGTGAGAACCCGGGAGAGTGCTTGCTGTGGCCATTTCAGACGCAGAGAGGAGAGATTTCTGGAGTAAGCAGTGTCAAGATGGGCCTTAGACACATCTTGTTCCATGCTGCTGGGTCCCCTTATGAGGAGGAAATTGAAGGATGGCTTTTCATGTGCAAGTATCTGGCTTTTGGTTATTCTCCCAACGCGATTATGATGGAGTAGGAACTGACCTATGTGACCGGGTATGTATTTCTTTGAGATGTAGCCATGCCTCCCCATCTTCAGCAGGGCTTGGGACTGAGGTAAGGC